AAATTAATAATAATAAATAAATATACTTTTCATCAAAAATATTTTAATAATTGTAGTATGAAAACTGCAATTTTAATGTGCTGTATGCGTTGAAAACGTCTTTTTCTTTTTCTTTTTTTAATTAACTAAAATACACCGAATTTAGTGACAAAATTGAGGCAAAAACCTAATTTAGCCTTTCATCTTATTAAATTTGTAGATTTTAACTCTTAACCTTATACTATAACATTTTTATCCATTTATCTTAATAAATTTATAAGTTTTAACTCTTCATCTAATACCATAACACTTTTAACTCCTCACCTATATGAGTTGAAGAAAATAACTCTCATTTAAGATCAAGTTATAATATTCTGTTAATTCTATTAACTTACTGTTAACTCTGTTAATTGACTGTTAACTTTATTAGTTAACTATTAGTATCTGTTAGCATTCCATAATAAAAAATATAAATTTTAAATTTAATTTTATTTGTTAGTTTCATTAATAAAATGTTAACAATCAGTTAACAAAACTAATAGAATGTTATAATCTGATCTTAAGTAAGGATTATTTTTTTCAATTAGTATAAGTAAAGGATTAAAAGTGTTATAATATAAAGTGATGAGTTACAATCTATAAATTTATTGTAGTAAAAGGTTAAAAATATTATAATATAAGGTGATGAGCTAAAATTTAAAAATTTATTAAGATAAAGGACTCAAAGTAGGTTTTTAGCTTGAGGAGGTTATTCAAGAATTAGGACACCCTCCAAGACCGCCAACAAACCAAACACCACAAAAAAGGGCAGCTCCATTCGCTGTGAGGACTCCGTCGGTTAGTCCAATTGTCTGCATTTAATTCTGACCTCTTTTCTTAACTCCACCTCGGTCGCCTATCTCAATCGGAGGAAAGCAAATGGAGAAGGAGAAAATGAAGGAGTGTGAGGAGGAAACAGAAATGGAGTTCGAAAACAGCCAAGAGAAGATAGGAATCAGCGATGAGATTGAGCGGAGCAAAGTCGGCATTATGAGAGCCCTCGTTGAAAGGGAAAATCCATCCGCCAAGGTCGTCCTTTTTTCTCCCTTCTTTTCGATTCAATTCATTTGACTCGTGATACAAATCATGGACTACGCATTTTGCAGTAGTTGTAGTACTCATATTTTGCAGTATATAGAATAGATATCACTGACTTTAGTTTCCTTTTTTAGGTTTTCCTTTGTCCGAGATGATATTAGATTTACTTTAGGATAAGGTTGGATCCATGCTAAGTAAGTGTTGTAATCCAGGATTCAAGTCTTCTGCCAAACACCTTGTTGAGTGAACACATTGAGAATATAATACAAGAAGATCACCTTTTGCCAAATTACGCCTATAGGTACAATTTTGGTATGATATTAGAGCTTAGGCTGCATTCCTGCAAAGCTTTAACCCACTTAATAGAACCTGACTTGCATGTAAGGAGGCATATTAAGTCACGCGATAGGACCTAACATTTACATTGGGCCTGCACGTGAGGGGCACGTGAGGGGCATCTTGAGGGACCTGACATTCATAACAGACCTAGGGATCCAACATTAATAGTGGACTTGCATGTGAGGGGACCTGACAGTGGAACTAAACATGAGGGGCATGTTGAATAGAAAAATAACACGTACAATTTTTACACACCACATTGTGCATTTGCTCTTAAGATTTCCCAGGAAGGGATTAGTCTTGATGACCCAGGAACACCCTGACCCTAAATACTGGCAAAAAAAAAAAATGATTTGCTTTGAGATATTCAGGCATGTATTGTTCAGTAGGAGGATTATGGTTAGAGTACTTCTCAAGCTTATTTGCAGCATTTTGGGCATTTTTGTTGGAAAGATTATGGTTTTGGTTTCTCTATTTCATTCATATTTTGGGCATTGATGTTGGAAAGATTATGTTTTGATTTCTTTATTTTGTTTATATTGTGGGTTTTTGTTGGCATGTGTTTTGTGGTTGTTGAAGAGTGAACTTTTTGGTTTTTCAGGAAGTGGATGATTTTATGATCAGGAGATTTCTGCGTGCTAGGGATCTAGATATAGAGAAGGCATCCACAATGTTTCTGAAGTACCTGAGCTGGAAACAAACATTTGTTCCAAATGGTTACATTTCTGAATCTGAAATTTCCACTCAGCTCTCACATAACAAGTTCTTTATGCAAGGTCTGGATAAGCAGGGACGCCCAATGGCTGTTGTCTTTGGTAACAGACATAAGCCTGGGGGTAAAGGAAGTCTGGAGGAGTTCAAGCGTAGGTTCTTGTACCCTTCTGTACTTTAGATCCAATATGAGACAAGAACCTCGTGTTTTGATTCTGTATTTTGTCATCTTTGTTAGAAAGTTGCTACTGAATTGAATTGCATAGGAGTTGTCTCCAGCTAAAATTTCAATATGTTCTATTCCATGCAGGCTTTGCTGTTTATTGTCTAGACAAAATATGCACGAGGTAACATGATTTTCCTTTCAAAGTTTAATCTCTGTTACTCATTTTGTAAACTGTGATGTATGTGGAGAAGACCTTGTCCTTACTTTTCAATGGAAGTGTTAGATGTGGGTCATTAAATTTGTTTTGTTAGTATTCTGGTTTAGGAACTGGATAGCCATTCTACTCCTTGGATGTAGTTTTTAGGAATAAAATTTCTTGAATGTAGTTTTTAGGAACAAAATTAATTTCTTTTTCTTTTTCTTTTTCTTTTTTTTAATTTTGGGATGTTATGGTTGGATGGTCATAGTCCATGATGATCAAACTTTCTTTTAATCTGGACAACACGTGTCCTGTAAGAACACCAAATATACCTCATTTGAAATCTAAACCAAATGTTGTCTTCTTTGTTTTACAATCACAAATGTCAATTGAATTGAGCCAAGGAATCAGGCTTACTTATGGTGTTATTACTGAGTTCCAGAATGACAAGAGGACAGGAAAAGTTTGTGGGTATTGCTGATCTTGAAGGATGGGGATATTCTAACAGTGATATTCGTGGATACCTTGCAGTTCTATCAATCTTGCAGGTAAAACGTTCACCATTTTCTAAACATGTGTCCATTATTTATTATTTTACTCAGGCTAACTCAACTATTTCTGATTTGTTTACAGGACTGTTACCCAGAGAGGCTGGGCAAATTATATATAGTTCATGTGCCTTACATATTCATGACTGCATGGAAGGTTATTTACCCATTTATTGACAGCAAAACTAAGAAGAAGGTAAAGTATGCCATATCTTTCCTTAGAGGGGGAAAGGGGAGAAAACATATGCCTTCAAATGTGCATTACTGAAAAACCATTGATTCAAAGAACAAATAGAATAAAGATGTCGAAATTATTATGCCTTTACTATAACCTTCCCTTTTAACATCAAGCTGGCAAATTCAAGACCAGATATTACAACCTTGTTGTTCAGGAGGAATGGATTTAGCATGTATTTGAAACTGACTCGTTCAGTAAACTTGGAGGTTCATTTTTTCACCTTATTCTAATCCTGTTTACCCATTGATCGAATCCTTTCGCAGATAGTTTTTGTTGAAAACAAGAAACTGAAATCAACTCTGCTTGGTGATATTGATGAGAGCCAGCTCCCAGATATATATGGAGGCGAACTGCCATTGATTCCTATACGGGACTGCTAACTAGTTTCTTTAGTTTCACCTGATGCCATTAGAATTTTAGGCATAGCTGGGAACTATTACCTGTATAGGTTTGAAATGAATGTATTTTACATCTGCCCATTGAACTTGAAGGCGACTCATCTCTCACACACAAACTATTGATATCATAAATGCGTGTGTCCTCTTGAAAACCAATAAAATTTTAGTTAATCTCTCTCTCCTCTCAATGTTACTGCATTGCAGAAGCTAGCCATTTCTCTTTGCTCTGATATGACATCTAAACTTGAAATGATGCCAGCATTCTTGGATGAAAACATTGCCATCAATTCCAGCTACATATCGAGTTGTTGGGCAACAATTGAAGAAACAGGTTATCAAAAAATTATTGAAAAAAAAAAGGAGAGAGAGAGAGAGAGAGAGAGAGAGGAAGGAAAAGGAAGCCCAATAGTTGAAAAGAGATTAGAAGGCATGATACAGATTGATCATGTGTTAGGTGACCAAGCCAGTGATGCAGTAACCAGTAACTTTCTTTCCTAAAAATATCCTCATTCCTAAAAATATCCTCATCTGCAAACCAAAGATGTTTGCTCTATTCTCGCAGTCGGCTTGAAGGAAAACCACCGATGATGTCAGTCTGGTTGAACACATCCATGCAGAACTTGATTTATTCAGGAACAGCTCAACACATTTAAGAATCCCACAAAAGAAAATCACTTGAACTTTAACTTCTTCAACAATTCAACATGCATTTGAATTAAAGAATCCTAGATCGATAAATACTATTAAAGTATCAACATTAACAAGATCCAATAATTTGAAAAAAATAAATTCAGAAGTCATTCAAACTGATAATGTTCAACAAACATTCAGTTGTTGATTATTCAGAACCTCAGAACCCTGTCCCAAAATTGGCAGTGGATAAAATATCCAAATGGAAAACAGAAGAAAGTTGCAAGGGAAAGATTCATCTCTCCACGCAAGTATAGAAGAAAATATCTATCATGACATTTCACAATAAGACTACTGTAGCAAAGAAGGAACTCCAGCATTTGGCTTATCCAATCAGCAACTTGTTTTCTTCTAAGAAATTATAGGTTGGTACCTCCAAATTGAATGGAGCTGGCCCCTTGCGGATTCTACCAGAGATGTCATAATGTGAACCATGGCATGGACAAAACCAACCGCCAAAGTCACCAGCATTTGGTAGGGGAATGCACCCCAAGTGAGTGCAGACACCAACAACAATAAGCCACTCAGGATTCTTGACCCTGGCTGAATCTTCCTGTGGATCACGAAGAGAGGCAATATCAACCCTGTTGGCCAACTTAATGTCCTCCTCAGTTCTACGCCTAATGAAAACTGGCTTCCCACGCCACTTGACTGTTACAGTAGTCCCAGGCTCAATGCTAGAGAGATCAACCTCAATGGAGGCAAGGGCAAGGACATCTTTGCTCGCAGACATGCTTAAAACAAACTTGAGGATTAGAAGACGTATTATGGAGGCATACACAAACCTGCCCCCAGTTAAGACAAAATAAGCAAATGCACGCTTGCTGGGATCACCAGGTGGATAACGCTCGTGATTGTGCTCATCATAAACAATTTTCGAAGTCGGGTTCTTCACTGCTGCCACAGTAGCAGAGAGATCTGAGATCATGCCTGCATCATGTCCTGGGGTAAGGGCATTGGATGAGAAACCTGTAAAATCAAACCAACAGAATAAAATATTTATACTTTTATTATATCAAAACTATTTATGAGACAACATAAAACAGCAACCAAGGAGCATTTTAAACAATCTATCAAAAACAATGGTTAACAGCACATTATCTTTGTTCAGCTTATAAAAAAACAACAAATAAGAAAGGGGGATTGATCAGGCATTCTGTCCTACAATCTTAATGTGAAAAATTGCATCCCAAAATTTATCAAGCATATTATCTTAATGATTTGCTTCAAAAAATTCCAGCTCATATTTGAGGAAAGAAGGAAATCCCAAAACCAGATTATTTTCGAACAAGAGAATTTCTTGGTTTTGGGGAAAACCTATAGAGAAAAGATTTCCAATGAACAAACTTTAAGCCTTTCATTTTCAACTTCAAGGTCAAGTGTATATAAAATGCAAAAGGAAATATATTACAGACTAAAAGTGAACTAATCATTGACATGACATTTTCATATAACTACAATTAATTACAACAACACATTTGGAAAGATAATAAAGTTTCAGATTTTCATAAACTCATTTCACAGCAGGTTTCTAATCAAATCACTGAAAAAAAAAATTAGTGCAACATTGAAGAAAATAGGGGTTCCAATCAACCAATCATCTGAAAACTACAGAAAGCCAACAGCTTATTTAACTTCAATGCATCAACAGAACCTATTCCCAATAAGACTTCTAAAATTTCAATTCATTTCCTCCCACGAACTGGAGAATTTTTCATGAAATCTTTAGAACTAAAAAACACGCCAATAGCTAGATTCTACTTATGCGATATCCAACCAAATAGAATGTTAAGAACAAAAAAAGGTTCGACAATCGTTTGGTTTAATCACGCAAGACCCAAAAACAGGAAACGAGGAGGAGGTCATAAATAGCACCCTAGAAATCAGGAGAAAAAAAAAAAGTAATGGGAGCAAAAGTGAACCTCTTATCAGATTCAGAAACTGGGGATTAAAGGAGAAGGGCGTTGGAATGGATCTGGATGCGGAAGGAGATTCAACAGCACCACCAGCAACGACGCAATTGAGAGGGTCGTTTCGAGAGAGGGAGGCGGAGGGCCTCCATGGCAGAGATGAGAGCCTTCTCCCTGCTACTCTCAGCATCCTTTGCTGAATTCCACGTCCCCGATTGCTGTAGCTTAGGGTTCCCGAGCAGGGGATGGGATCTTCAGGATATGAAGAAGAATTTCCTCATTCAATAAAGGCGACAACCTGTTATTTTATAAGATGACAATACGGCGTCATTTTGCTTCTTCTGCATGGAATTTAGGTTTGCGTTTGGAATTTGCTGTTTAGTTCTGCAGCTATGGATTTTTTTTGCTTTATTATTACAAAAATTATATCAATGTTCGATGGAGTAATTAATTTGAAAAAATATGATACATCAAGAAGAAAAATGAAAATGAAAATAGACACATTTCGAATATTAAAATTATTTATAAATTTATTTAAATTATTTATTTATTATTTTAGATATTTTAATTATTAAAATATTTTAATTTTCTTTCGCTTCATACATTATTTATTATTATTTGGTAAGAGAAGGCTCCTCTATTCAATATATATTTTTTATTAATTTTAAAATTTAAATTTGAGACATCTAAAATTAAAACTCACAACTAAAACATCACCTACAAATAAGTTAATAATAGGGGATTTGGAGGAAAAGGGAGGTGTGTGAAAAAAAGATGGCTTATTCCTCTTGTTTGAATTATTTCATTAATGGGGCGAAAGAGAGATAAAATCCCATTCACTCCTTTATTTTCTATCTTCCCAAATTAGAGAGGTTGTGAATGTTATAGATTTGGTCATTAAATTTATTTATTTTTAAAATTTTTTAAAAATAGATAAATATAAATATTTTATTTTAATTATTTATTTTATTAAATAAAAATTATATATCTCCTCTTTCCCCACATTTATCTATTTAAATGAGATAAATACCAATCCTTTATTATTATTATTTTCCCTTCTCCTCCCTTCCCTTCCTTTTCCTTATTAATTTTTATCTAAACAAACCTAACTATATAAAAACATGAACATATTTCAGCCAAAAATAATCATCATGGCTATTTTGAGACATTCTGGTGACACTTGGTTAGAAGTACATAAATAGAAAAACAAAAATTTGCCATAAAACAATTTATCAACATGACAACGATCTAAGTGATTTAGTAGTAATCTCTTTTTGTTGAAAGTAAAAAATTTTGAATTCGACTCGCATGACATGCCAATGGAGTGAAATGAGAAATGACTGAGAGTTGCCTCTCATTATGCAACCAACATAAAAAAAAAAAAAAAAAAAAAAAAAAACAAAACCCAACTTACCAACATAAAGATCACAGAAATGACCATATTTGATAATAGGAACTCATGTTATCATAATTGATGGCTTAAATATGAAATTTGAAGTATAAATTATATTATAAAAACCTTAAAATTTTCGCTGTCTGTTCTTAAAAGAAACGTGAAGCAGTATCTAGGAAGAGAATTCAAAGAAGACAAGTATTGTCTTATTCTGTCTAACTGAAATTTATGTAGATTCAGTCATTCTGTAGACTCAGATGAGTGATGGGGGAATCTTGACCAGACATCTTCCCACGTTCTCTGTCCATAAATCACCGACTTCACAACCGATGCTGCCTCTTCCACAGTAACACGAATTTGGTCCTTGCTGTCTCTCTCTCGGATTGTCACTGATTCCTCTGAATCAACAGTGATTGCAAAGGGCACACCAAGTTCATCTGTTCTAGCGTACCTTTTCCCAATTGAGGTGCCTGTAAACAACACAATGCAAAAAGCGGTACGCATGAATTAAAAGTACCATATATACATACACCAGAAAAAGAGGAGAAATACCAAGTAGCACGTATGCAAGAGAATGATAAAAGATGCAATGGCTGGGAAAATCTGGATTAATTAGGACCAAGCTCATGCAGACTTCACTGAAAGATGAGAAATATGCCCACCCTTCTAATGGACTATCGTTTTTTTCCCATTTTTGGCTGTCAGGCGATTTTGCTTTCAAAGTTCAAACAGATCATTTCAGGTGCCAATGGCTTCTTATCCACAAGAGTGCGTGTCATTATCCAACCGAAGTTTCTCAAATTATGAACCATCCTTTCCTCTCATATAGGGCTACCCCTTTTTTGCCTTGTCATCTTATGCATCTTTTTAGAAATTATCAGAACGGTATACGTGTCCTTACCTATGTGAACCTCAGTGAGTTCTATAAGCCCCAGAAAATTGTCAATCATGACAGTGTCTATAGATATGAAGAGGGCCACGCAAGTATGGGTGAGTGCTGACAATGAAGTTGGGTATAATTCACGTCAGCTGTATACCTGTAATGTCTATCTTATGCGATATTGCAGCTTCTGTTAATGACTTTGCGATCTCTTTGGCTTTCTCATTGTATTTGTCATTCTGAACCAGTGGAAATACAGTGCATTTGATGGGTGCCACGAGAGGGGGGAAGCGGAAAACATTCAGCTGCTCATCTCCAACCTTACTTGACCTCACGTAGAAAGAATGCTCAAAAAGACAATATACTATACGTCCGATCCCAAACGATGGTTCAATCACCGATGGTGTAAAAACCCTTTGGTGTTCCTTCTTTTTCTCCTTTGAAATTGAGACCATATTCTTCTTAATAACCACATTTTCCCCGAGCGTGCAGACATAGAAGTCAACTTCCCCTTTGGAATCCAAATCAGCCTTCATTTTCATAGCTTCTTCTTCGTTCATGGCCTAACAGCAAAAGGAATCTAATGAATAATGATGTGGCAATGAAAGCTTAAACATCAGCAAATGAGTAAACTTTCATTACTATTTACCTCCAAAGCTTCAATAACCATCTTCTGGTTCCCCTTGAACGAAAGGCCCAGTTCCTTTTTAACTGGAGCTATAACAAGTTTCTGAAAACATAGACCATGAGTCAATTTATTTCTAAGTTCTAACCTCAAGCAGTGCTTTTTTGATGTGATAGACATAACACACAGTTGGCACTAACGTTTGACAAAGAGGTTAATGAGCAAAAAGTAGTACCTCCACTTCTATAGGTTCTGGAAATTTCTCGTGGGCCACAAGAGGTACACCGCTTTTGTCCTGTTATAAGAAAACCACAAAAAAAAATTATGCATGAGTATTTATTATGAGTAATGATGTAGCGGACGAAAATGCAGGATGAAAATGAGAGACGACAAGTGATGTAAGGGGGTCAAATTGGTAATTGCACTACATACATAAATCTTGCATCACTTGTCGTCTCCCATTTTAGTCTCGCATTTTCGTTCGCTGCATCATTACTCATTTATTATACTACCTTCTTTCAAGGAGAGAAAGGGTTATAAGTATTTCCTTTTAGTTTCTCTTTTTTATTCTAGCTAGCTTTTGATAGCATTAGAGGTAAAAATTAGCTCAATTACAGTTTTCAACTAAGATTTTAAGCAGTCATGCAGATAGCACAAGTTACAATAAGGTGACCCCCACATTACTTTCTATGATTATTACTTCTGTTCTTCATGCTATGCATCACTAGATGCAATAATACAGACATGTCTCCCTAACAAACCTAGCTACCTTGTCCTAAGAAGATACTTTATAGCTGTACTTTTATAATTATAAAAGGTAAAAGATGTTTGAATGAGATGTCAATCAAGTTCTTACAGAGTGAGCACGCAAATCATAAGCAGACCTATCTGCAATACCAACACACTCAATCCAGCCATAGGAGCACTCAATCTCAGCATCCCAACAATCTGCAGCATAGTGAGCCATTTCATTTGCGAGATGTTGCCGGAACCGTAAGCGGTTTTTGTCAATACCAAGCCCAGTTAGGAAGAGATAAACTCTTCCAATAAAGTAGCCAAGGGTCTGATTGTTGACAATTCCCTACATGAGAAGAAATTGCATCATCATCATATCAACTAGACAAAGAAAAATGTGAAGATTGAAGAAAAAAATGATCAAGCTAAACATGACTTAAACCAACCTCTGAAACTGCCACAGCAAGGCGAATTTTCTTTGCAGATTGTCCAGACATTTGCTCTTCCCTTGGAAACATTAGGAACTCCAAGTTCTCAACTTCACAATATTTTGGGTGTTCTTTGTGTTCAGGATCAACAAAATGCTCAATCTCTGCTAGTGTAAATTCTCGAACTCTCAAAAGACTTTGGCGAGGAGAGATCTGTACACATGGGAAAACTCCATGATTTGATAACAAGTGTTCTTGTGAATTCATCGAAACAACCATCTTAGCTACCAAGAAAGTAATAAACGATGAACCCTCACTTTAACAAGCACGATTGGCCAGAAAAATTTAAGCATCTTCTCATGAAATACATGGTAATTTCCATTCACATATACAAAAGAACTCATCCAGAAAGGACACATAGATGAACATGTTATTCAGATCAAAGGGCTTTAGTTAAAAACCTCATTTCTGAATGCCTGACCAATTTGAGCAGCAGCAAAAGGGAGCTTGTTCCCATTGTAATAGTACAAGTCTTTGAAGTTCACAAATATCCCTTGCGCTGTTTCAGGACGCATATACCTACAGCAGACCAAACAAAAGATGAATTCTGTATTTTGAATATTTTGATTTTAGGACTGCAGATTTATAAAAATGACTAAACAAGAAACAATATAAAAACCCACCCAGGACTCAAACCAGAAGGACCAATTGATGTTTGGAACATTAAGTTGAATGGATACGGATCAGACAGAGGATTCTTTGTGTCTGGAGCTGTAATTCCATACTCCTTGATCTTTGAACCCAGCTCTTCAGCTGAAAGATCATCCAGCACTGCAAGTACATGTTTGAGCTCAGCAGCCTTCTCTGCACTTATGCTAAGGTCTTTCTGAAGCTTGTCATTGCAGAAATCCTTAAGCAAGTGATCAGCTCGGTAGCAGGTCCCGGTTTTCTCATCCTTAACCATAAGGTCAGTAAATTTATCCACATGACCAGATGCCTTGAGTACAATTTCAGGTGTAACACAGGGGCAATCAACCTCCAGCATGTTCTCCTCAATGACAAAGTGCTGAAAATAAGTAAAGAAATAAATTAACATGGGCATAACTAATTAACATCAACTGAGCTAATTTTCAAAAAGAAAAGAAATGCCATCTTTTTCTTTTTTGGAAAATAATTTGTCTATATTTTTGGTTCAACACCCCTATAACTCGATGCAATAATTAAAATACAATATAACTATGGTTAATATACATCTTTAAATTTAATTACTTTTAATATTAAATTGAAAAATAATAATATTTTTAATAAATATATGAAATTAGTGCTTATTCATATTATTCTTAAAGATTACGAAAAAAAAAATTACTCTTTAAAATTACATTGTCCCAATAAAACACCACAAAAAGGACAAAAAAAAAAAATTAGAGTGTTCCGATGTGGTTTAGTTTGGATTTTAATATTTTTTAAATCAATCCAATTTAGTTGGTTAATAAAAATTTTAAACCAATTCAATCCAACTTAAATCGGATTAGTGTAATTTGATCCAATTGATATGTTTTTAATATTATTAAATATATGAGATAATGTAAAATTTTTCAACATCAAGTAAAAAATATAATTATAAAATACATTAATATTTAAATTAATAGAAACATAATAAAATGTACAAATGATAAGCAAGTTCTTATATTCATTTACAATTGTTCTTGACTACATCACTAAAAGCACTAAGAACAATAAAAAATGATTTCAAGTTTTAATTATAGTGCAAGTAATTTTTAAATGTTAAAACTATTTTTTTAATACACCAATGATTCAATCACATCTTCTAAATCTCGTTAAAAATGAATAAAATTTAATATGAATATCATTAAAATTTATTAAAAGTATTTATAATCAAAATTTAAAACTCCTTAACTAAACATCCAATAATAGTAGAATATGAATACTATTTTTATCATGTAATTTTAAAATTTCTAGAATGATTATTCTTTAGAACTTAACTAGGAAAATAAGAATATTATTTTAGAAATAAATTAGAAATTTAGAATTATAAGAGTTGAGTTGCAAGTCAATTTTGATGGGTAAAGTTACAAGTAATTAGAAATTTAGAATTAAAATTAGACCACATGATTAAAAAGAAAAAATAAATTAGGGAATATAAGGATGCTTTATTTTTATTTTTTTAATTAAATTACTGAAATTATTACCTTGTAAAACAAAAAAAATTTTAAATAATAATAAAAATTATATTATTTAATTAAATTATCTTGTAAT